CACACCGTGGGCCTTCCAGGGCTATCATTGGAAGGTGTACTCAGCTCTCTGAGCTTCAGCTTCCTCACTGGAAAACAAGGAATGTTGGTCACCATGTTGTGAGATTGATCAAGATCATGGTTCCTGTGACAACACACTTTGAACCCTAATTGCTAAGTGAATGTTGGATAATTGTATGTATTACTGATTATTTCAGGAAATCCAAGACCGTCTTGGTTGGGGGGGGTGGTTCAAAGCAGAGCTGGGGAGCTCAGACTTGCCTCCAGCTGCAGATGGGAGTCCCTGGAAGCTGGCCAGCAGGAGAGCCAGGATACAGGTATAGTGTCTTGAGCAACCACACGTGGTCTGGCCCCTCCAGCATCTACACTGCCTGCTGCCCAGCTGTGGGGTTCAGGCACTGGTTCCTCTCTGCTGATTGCTTCTCCCCATCTCCCCAAGCCTGAACATTATTGTTAAAACTAGACACCCACTTGTACTGTCCATGGATTGAGATCACCTGGCTTCATTTGTGGGCCTGACTGTGCTGTTAGCTGCTCTCCCAAGTCATTAGGGATTTGGGCATTTGGACTTGTTTCATGGAATGGGTCTTTCAATTCTGGGACTGGATGGGGGACCCCTGTGGCTGAGGGCCCCCGGCAGGGACTGTCCAGGAAGTTGATCTTTATTTGAAACTAAAAATGCCAGCCAGATATGGCAGCTGCTAGAGGGGCTGGCACCCTATTTCAACTCTGTTGTTCCTGGCCCTGGCTCTCATCCCACTTCTCCAAGACCCAGTCTTCCTGCTCTTGAAGGAGATCTGACCCTTCAGGCCTGGCTGCTCACCTGGCCTCTGCTGCTCAATTGTGGAGGCCTGGCTGCACCCAGCTGTGGGGAAGGCCAGGGTGAGAGCAGGGAGGGCCACTGGGCCAGGGTCAGGAGGATGGTAAGTACCAGGAAGAGAGGCTGCTGCACTCTGGCGCCAGCGGGGAGGATCCAGGCCTGGAGGCAGCCGTGCTGGCATGGGTATGAAGGCAACCGGAGGTTCTGTAGCCCCCCCCAGCTTACCACACCTGGAAGTACCTAGAGGCTGTTGGCTTGACAGGACAGCGGGGCTCCTGAGCCCTGCAAAGAGCACTGTGGGGGCAGGGACTGGGGAATAATGCCAAATGTGGAGGGTTTATATGTCTGCATGTGACAGTCTCTGTTCTCTTCTTTGTGCTTTACAACTACATTCCAGCTGTTTGTCATGTACCTCTGGGTCACATGGGCTGGTCTCCCCGCCAGAAATGTCTGCTCATCCCCATACCTTCACCTGGTCACTTCATGTTCGCCCTTTAGATGTGGTCTGGGTAAGAAACCATCTCAGCCACCCAGGTCTGAGCAAGGTGCCTTTGCTTGGCCCTCCAGCATTTCCCCACCACCGCCCCTGCCACCCCCTGTCCCTCATCAGAAAACTTATCACCCAATTCTTGCCTGTTGACATTTCTGTCTCCTCCAGTAGACAGAAGCACCCTGATAGTTCATCGGTGTATTCCAGGGCCTGGTATGATGCCTGGTGTATAGTGTTCCATACATGTTTGTAACGTGGATGGATGGATGCACTCATGTAGGGATGGATAATTATAAGAATGGATGGTGGATGAGTAGACATATGGATGGGGGTGAAGGAATGATGGATGAAAAGATGTATGTTTTATGGGTAGGTGAGTGAGGGGGTAGATAGATAGATGTATAGATAGGGGATGGGTGGGTGAGTGACGGATGAAGAAAATTATACATGTGTGTGAACATGGAGCGATACATGGGTAGTTGGAAAATGGGCAAATAAAATACTATAGGAAAGCAATGGTAGACACATGGATGGATTAATGGATGGATAATGAATGTGGTGGATGGATAAATGGGTAATCAGTGTGTACGTGGATGGATGGTTGGAGGAATGGAGAATGGATGGATGGATGAGTAAATAGATAATGAATGAATGGATAAATGAATAGATTGATAACCGGGCTTCTCTCTCACTTGGCAGGCATCTGAGACACCTGGAGTGTCCTCCCACCATGTCCTACCTCATCATCAGGGTCTCTGGGCTCTTTTAGAAATACCTGTGGTACAGAAGCTTTCATGTCCAGGAGAGGCACTTGGACCTGCTGGATACCCTGCAGGGAAGAAGCTCTGTAGGGAGCTAAAGGATGAGGAGTGACAGGGTCTTGCCTTGAGCACAGTTAGAGAGTTGTTTGCATGCAGGGACAAACACATTACAGATGGAGCAGAAGGGAAATTCAGGGGCTGGAGAGGAGCACTTGGATTCGGGGTGGTAATGGGGTGAAGATGTCAGCCCCAAGATCCCCAAATTTGGGCCTCTTTCCTTTCTTCTGGTCAGTCACCCACCCAGTGTAAGGGCCTCTATGCAGCCTGGCAAAAGCTGAGGAGACAGGAAATTCCCTGTGTAGATGTGCAAAGACTGGGAAGACAGATGGATCTATGGAAGAATGCTATGGGCCCAAGGCTGCATTACTGGGGGTGAGCTCACCATGTTCAGTGGTGGGAATGTGTTATGTGTGTCTCTGTGTGCACAGGAGTAAGTGAGCCCATGTGTTAAATGAGCATGAGTGTGAGGCCAGGAAGTGCACGTGTTTGTATATGAGTGTGAATATCAGCTTAGGAGAGTGTGAGTGTGCACACGCATTTGTGATGCATGTGTGAACGCTGTGGGTCTATATCAGACTTGGTGGAGTAGTGGATGTGCTTGTGTATGGTGTGTGTGCACAGAGTGTGAACTAGTTCATGTGTGAGAATTTATTGGGAAGGATGTGTGGGTATGAGAGAAAGAGAGAGAGGGAGAGAGAGAGGGAAGGGGGAGGGGGAGGGGGAGAGAGAGAGATAGAGAGAGAATATCTTCTCTGTCCACATTGGGGGCCCAGAACCTCTACAAACATCCCAGTCTGGGAGACTACATTTTTGGCTCCTGATGCTCCTTATTCCAAAGTCACTCCACCCCTTCACTTCCTCCCAACTCAAAAACTCAGATACTCACCAGAAGCTAGGATGTCAGAAGACCAGTGGCCTGGACTGAGCCTCTAGGAACCTGTCACAGGGAGGGAGGAGAGGAGGGAGAGCAGATGCTGGAGACCTGACTGGCTCAGGTGGTAGAGTGCCTGTTTTGCAAGTCTGAAGCCCTGAATTCAAACCCCAGACCCACCAAAAAAAAAATCTGGAAACTAAGGGCTGCAGCTGGGCAGAGGGGTTATGGGCAGGAGGAGGGGCTGCTGCATGACAGCCTGGCCTGGCTTGTGAGAGGAGCCTGGCAGCTAGACACACAGAGACTCCCCTGGCCCATCCAAATCCAAGTGCTGTAGTCACTGCCATCCAGGGCTAGAACAGAAGACTCCAAATGGCCGGTCCACGGGCCCCATCTGGAGGCTGCTCAGCAAGTCAGTGGTCCAGCTGGCCCTGTGGGTCCAGAGTCCCTGGAGTCTGTATAGACTCTCAAGGGCAGGAGGCTGAGACACTTATGGCCATGTTCCAGGCCCTCATGGTACTCGGTGATGCTTCATGGACAAAGGGGTGGAATGATGAACCATCTGTCTTTAGGGCCTGGAATTCCTCCCTCCCCACAACTCAAGCTCCACACCTGAAACCCAGGACTCCCTCCCATCACCACCCTCCCTGTGGAGTCCACTCCAGCTCAAACCACTTCTCAGTCCCCAGCAGTATTCCAGGAGACTGTCCACTTTGCAGGACTATCCTGGTTCATTGTGACCCTTCCTATCCCATGGAGCTTCTGGGGCATTCCTGCCTGCTGGTGGGGATCTTGACTCACTCCTACTTCCTCTGCACTCCAGCTTCAAGGACTTACAAATACCCCCCTTGTCTGGGCAAAGGCCACTGTGACCTCTTGTTCAAAGAGGTAAAGTGAAATACCCAGAAATTTCCCCTCCTGGGAAATGAACCTAGATCAGCCTTGCTCTAAAGCCTGGGCTGCACCAATCCTGTCACAAGTTAGACTTCCAAGCCACAGCCTCATGAGGTCAAGTCACATCCAGTTGGGAGGGGTGAAGCAAGGAGGCCCCAGGGAAGCCATGGCACCTGAACAAGGCATGAAAGGCTATGAGGAAGGATGGAGGAGGAAACACCAGGCAGAAGTACAGAGGCAAGGAAGGGTGTGGTGAGCCATAAGGTTAAAGAGAATTATGATCTGACAGTAACAGGGAGTCACAGAAGGTGTTAGAGCAATGTGGGGTCAGCTGTGCTTGGAGCATCTATGCAGCCTGTGCATTGGACAGTGGGATAGAAAGAGGCAGTGAGGAGGGGGCTCTTCACAAGGTTGCAGCATAGCATCAGCCACCAGCAGGGAAAGACACCAAGGGACATGCAGGGCCCCAGGGTGCTGAGGAAGACTGCAGTTGGGACGTGTACCAGTGACATAAGCCTGGGGGAGGGTGGTGGGATACACAGGGCCACAGTCAGCATGGCAGCAGCATGCAGCCCTGCACATAGTAGGTGCTCAATGAAAGTAGGTCATACAAATGAATGGACCAATAGCCTCCCTGCCTTGTTGCCCTCCATGCTGGTTTCCACATCTCTTCTCTTTGCCCACCCTGTCCTGTAGCCCTGAAGGGCCTCAGCTGGCCCAGTAGGGGCAGTGCTGGCCCACTGTTCCACTGAACACCCCCTCCCGCTGTGCTGCTGCACGCACATGGCTTCTCTCTCTCTCTCCGTCCCCTTCCCCCTCCCTGTCCTTATCTTTCCCTCCCGTCTCCATGGCGACTCACCACCTCAGCTTGCCTGCATCCCAGTCTCTGCCAGGGATTCTGAGCTGGCTCTGTCCCTCCCTCCTCTGGAGCCCTGGTACCCGCAGCCCTGTCTCCTCCCCCTGGGGTGAGTCCAGCGGCAGCCTCCTCTTTCCCAACCCAACCGGCACATTTATTCTCCAGCTCTGACAGGAAGTCAGCTCCTCTGAGGAGACCATCCCCCTGCTCCACCTTCCACCTGCCACCTCAGTCAACCCTCCAGGAGAAAGCCATCCCACTTCGGGTTGAAGATCTTGGTGGAGCTCCTCTGTCTGCGGTGGACCCTCTTCCATCCCAGCCTCCCATGCCGAGGCCCGCCTTGTCAGTCACTTCCTTTTGTCATCGGCTTGGCAAACGGGCAAGTCTTCAGTCCTAAGATCTGGAGAGGAGGGTGGGGGTGGGAAGGAGCCACCTGGGATGGGGGATGGGCCTGGGGAGGGTGGGGGAGGGGTCTTGGAGAACTAGGATGAAAATGGGAGTCTGGATTCTGTTTTAAATTTTTTTTTTTTAAAATCTCCAAGGAGAGAAAATGGAGCTTCATGGGAAACAGCAGCAACAGTTGGTAAGCAGTGGGGCCTGCCGGGCTGGGATTGGTGCAGTGGGCTTGGAAAGGCTGGTCCAGGAGTACCAAACCCTGCGGCTGGACTCAACCAACCAAGGCTCCGCAGGGCTGTCCTGGGGAGGAAGCCTGAGGCTGGATCGGACAGGCTGCGGAGGGGGACCAGGGTGTGTGCTGCAAGGAGGCTGTAGCTCAGCTCCCAGAAGGAGAGCAGAAGGAATCCTCCAAGAACTAGAGCCATCTGCTTAGCTGCAGAATGGCACCAGGAGGCTGCCGCCTTCTCCTCCCTGTCCCAGCAGCTAGGGGTTGGAGAGTTGTTACTTCCTGGGGCCGAGGGAGGGAGGGTCCTGGTTCAAGTCAGCATCTCCTTGAGGGGGCCCTGCTGCAAAAGGCTGGGGACAGAATTTTCCTGAGCGTTGGCACTGGACGCCACACACATGTGACAGCACGTGCATCATCTCTGGTGATCGCCCCCATACCCAGAAGCTGACGCTGTCAATGTCTCCATTGGAGCAATTAGGAATTGGGGCTCCGAGAGGGGCAGGACCTCACCCATGGCTTCATGACTGGGATGTGGCAGAGCCAGGGTTCCATCCAGTCCTCAGTCTTGGGTGCTTTTTTCCAACTGCTCTGCTGACGCCACTTTGGGGCCATTAGGACTTGGGGTGCAAGGAGTCAGGGTATGAGCAGAGCTTGTCCTCTCTAGGAGTTCTCTCAGGTCATGGAGGCCCTGAGGGAAGCTGAGGTGGCGCAGATCCCCCAAACCTTGCACCCAATAGACATCCTGTTTTTTGGATGGCTTGTCCTACCCTTCCCCTGCCCCCAACGCCTAGGTCCCATGCACCATTCCCCAAGCTGGAGCTGGGCCTGGGACCCCGTCCCACGGCACCCCGGGAGCCACCTGCCTGCTCCATCTGCCTGGAGAGGCTTCGTGAGCCCATCTCGTTGGACTGTGGCCACGACTTTTGCATCCGGTGCTTCAGCACGCATCGTGTCCCTGGCTGCGAGCCGCCCTGCTGCCCTGAGTGTCGGAAGATCTGCAAGCAGAAGAAAGGCCTCCGCAGCCTGGGGGAGAAGATGAAGCTCCTGCCACAGCGGCCGCTGCCCCCTGCGCTGCAGGTGCAGGATCTGGGTCCCATGGCTGGGTGGGGTGGCTCAGAACTCTCTGGTCAGATTCAAGAGCAGGGAGTGGCTTTGGCCCTATTCTAGAATGTTATGATGGAGCACAGAGTTTCAGGCTGGATGCACTCCAGACTTTAGGTCCCATTCGGGATGCTCAGGGGTCCCCCTTCTCTGCCCCACCCAGGAGACCTGTGCTGTGAGGGCAGAACGACTGCTGCTGGTGCGCATCAATGCCTCTGGAGGCCTCATCCTCAGGATGGGGGCTATCAACCGCTGCCTGAAGCACCCCCTGGCTAGGGACACCCCAGTCTGCCTCCTCGCTGTCCTGGGGGAGCCACACTCAGGGAAGTCCTTCCTCCTGGACCACTTGCTCCGGGGCTTGCCAGGCCTGGTGAGGGTGGGGCTGGCAGGAGGCTGGAGGGGGTCAGGGTGGCATGGGGATGCAGAATGGACCAACTGATGCCCCCTTCTCTCCTTGCAGGAGTCTGGTGAGGGAAGCTGGCCCAGAGGAGGAGAGGGGTCCCTTCAGGGGTTCAGATGGGGTGCCAATGGGCTCACCAGGGGCATATGGATGTGGAGCCACCCCTTTCTGCTGGGGAAAGAAGGGAAGAAGGTGAGAGAGAAAGGGCAGAAGGAAGTCAGGGTGGATCAAGGAGGGGAAGAAGAGGGGGAGAGGGGAAGCAGAGATAGATGAAGAAGAAGGGAATAAGAAGGAAATCTTTGGAGGTGAGGACCAAGAGAGTGGGTCGGGGAAAAAACATGGTGGGGGTAGGCAGGCCTGACCCCTAGGCTCATCCTCTCTGTCCCCTGCATAGGTGGCTGTGTTCTTAGTGGATACAGGAGACACCATGAGTCCGGAACTGAGCAGGGAAACAAGAATCAAGCTCTGTGCTCTCACCATGATGCTGAGCTCCTACCAGGTGAGAGAGGTGCTGAGACCAAGTGCCCCCATCCCAATGTCCTTCTCCAGCTCAGCTTTCTCAAGGTCAAGAAAGGAGGCTCTCAAGGAGGCTTTGGTGACTAGAGTCACAGCAGGTTCTGGGGGTGACTCTGGGAGAGGTAAGATGCTCTCAGTCAGTGAAGGTGGGAAGATGGGTTGCTCTAAAGATGGGGTGATGTCCCCAGGGGCCATCCTAGACCTACTGGAAGGTATGGGATACCTAGAGGTGAGCCCAGCCCTTCAGGCTAGAGAGGCCCCTGTGCTGAGCTGGTCCTGTGTTCTGAGGCCTGAAGGTTGTCTGGGAGTCTCCTCAGCATGGTCTTTCCAGCGTTGCTTTGACTCTGCAGCCCCTTGTGTCTTCTTGGTTTCAGATCCTGAACACCTCCCAGGAGCTGAAGGACACAGACTTGGGCTATCTGGAGGTGAGGAGGCCTCTGATGTTGGGGCATCACCCCAAACCACCCTTCCCATAAGGCCAAAAGGCTGGACCAGAGGGAGCTAGTGCCCTCCCATTTTGGCTCAGGATTTTATGCCGTTTGAACTGGATTGGTGGCTTTGAGGGCAGAGGGTGAAGTGTGAGGTTACCTGGTTTGGAGTAGGCAGGAGAATCCCAGAACAGGGAAGTGGGAAGCTTGGCTCTTGTAGTGGTGCAGGGGAATGGGGTGTGACTTGGAACAGATCATAGCCCTTGTAGCGGCCCAGCTCTGACATTATCTGTGCCCCCTCACAGATGTTTGTTCATGTGGCTGAGGTGATGGGCAAGCATTATGGAATGGTGCCAATCCAGGTGAGACACCCATGCCTGGACTTGTCACCCCAGACCCCAATACTCCTCCATCTGGTGGTGTCAGAACTCCTTCTCTTCCAGCATCTGGACCTCTTAGTTCGTGATGCATCCCACCCCAGCAAGTCAGGGCAGGGGCACGTGGGTGACATCCTCCAGGTGAGTGGACCAGAGGAATGGAGGGCAGTGACAGGGCAGAAGGCAAGGGGGCTGGGAGGGAAGTTGTCCCAGAGGGCACTCACAGTGGGAGGCTGTTCTGACTCAGAGCTCTCTACAATTTATTTCTCAGAAGCTGTCTGGCAAATACCCCAAGGTGCAGGAGCTGCTCCTGGGGAAACGAGCCCGCTGCTACCTCCTGCCTGCTCCGGGGAGGCAGTGGGTGAACAAAGGCCAAGGAAGCCCAGGAGGTGGTGAGTGTCCCCAGGGGCTGAGGCCTCCTGGGTGTTACTCCCCAGTTTCCCCAAAGGCCTCTGGTGGTACCCAGCCTCTCCCCAGGCCCAGTCTCCTCAGCATGAGAAATCTCTTCCTTAGACACAGACGACGATTTCCGCCACCTTCTCCGGGCCTATGTCTCAGATGTGCTAAGCACAGCCCCCCAGCATGCTAAGAGCCGCTGCCAGGGGTACTGGAGCGAGGGACGCGCCGTGGCCAGGGGGGACAGACGCCTGCTCACGGGGCAGCAGCTAGCTCAGGAGATCAAGGTGTGAAAACTCCCTGGAAACCCCAGCGCTCAGCAGGCCCCTGCTCTCCCTGACCCGGCGGTGGTGTCTCTGCAGAACCTCTCGGGCTGGATGGGGAGGACAGGGCCTGGTTTCAGCTCTCCAGATGAGGTACGGAGGCCCCCGGGTGGATGGGATCTGGGAGGAAGGCCTGGGGGTGGGGGTCTGCAGGCCCTGGGAGTAGAGATGAGGAACAGGCAGTGCCCTTGACTGAGAGGAAGGAGGGAGGCAGCCTGGGCTTTCCCATGGACAGATGGCCGCTCAGCTGCACGACTTGAGGAAGGTGGAAGCTGCGAAGAAGGAGTTTGAGGAGTATGTGAGGCAGCAGGTGAGCCCCCCGGCCTGCGGGGGAAGCTGGGGTCTGCCAGCAGGGCCCACATCGGGGAGGGGACGCCTGGGTCTCCTGGTCAGTGCACCTCCTTCTCTCCTCCTGGTCATTGTAGGACATAGCCACCAAGCGCATCTTCTCTGCACTCCGGGTCCTGCCCGATACCATGCGGAACCTCCTATCCACCCAGAAGGATGCTATCTTGGCCCGCCATGGTGTAGCCTTGCTATGCAAGGAAAGGGAGCAAACCTTGGAGGCCCTAGAGGCTGAGCTCCAGGCCAAGGCCAAGGCCTTCATGGACTCCTACACCATGCGTTTCTGTGGCCACTTGGCTGCTGTGGGCGGTGCTGTGGGGGCTGGGCTCATGGGCCTAGCGGGGGGTGTGGTAGGTGCTGGCATGGCAGCGGCCGCACTGGCTGCTGAGGCTGGGATGGTGGCAGCCGGGGCAGCAGTGGGAGCCACTGGGGCTGCTGTGGTTGGTGGTGGTGTGGGCGCTGGGCTGGCTGCCACCGTGGGCTGCATGGAGAAGGAAGAGGATGAGAGGGTGCAGGGAGGGGACCGAGAGCCCCTTCTCCAGGAAGAGTAACAGCCAAGAGACCCAAAAGGGTGAGAGATGCAAGTTGGGAAGAAGAGTGGGGTGATGCCACTCTTTGGAGGGGCTCACACATACCATACTACCCCTGCTGAATTCCCAGTGTCTGACAACTGGATGAGTTAGGTACTCAAGGTGTCTTCAGGAAGCTGGGAATGCTTCCTGAGGACTTGAGGGCAGGAAATAGAGCACAGGGCCCATTTCTGTTTGTAGATGACCATGAATCTACCGTCATCTCAGATACAGTAGACCCTGGATCTCCCACCACAAATGAGGCTCTACCCTCCCCACTCTAGTTTATTTTCTCTTTGATGACCCTGGGTTGTAGGAAGTTTGAGCAGTGCCATCCTGGAGTACCCATGGGTCCAGAACCCTTGTCCTTTCACAGATGGGAGAGGCCCCAGCATGATTGACCTTGGTGTTCAGGAGCAGGGGGCCCTGACAAGAGCTGGGACACAGGGCAGAGCCAAAGAGGTGGAGTAAACCCCAGAGTAGACACTTGTTCCCAGACTCCTCCCACAGTTGCTCCAGCAGGACTAAGTGACTGCCTGCCTCCCCTCCGCAGCTGGACACCTGTGGTATATCCTGAACTGTCTGCACTGCCGTGCACCTGTCCCTCCCTGCAGGCCACTCAGGCTCATGCCCCCTGTCAAGCCCACTCAGTGAGAGGAGTGCCCATGTTCTTTGAGGAATGCCCACATCACATCAGACTAAATGCCAAAGAATCTCCCTTCAATTGCATTCTGAGCTAAGCCAGTCTATATCACATTCTATCAAGGTCTCACAAAGGAAGTCACAGTGGAGAGATTCTATCTTTAAACATGTTCTTTCTCCCTGAGCTTGTGAGAATACTTTGTACCATCTTAGAAGACCTCCTTAATACAGCTCCCTGAATGTCAGGCCCCACTGAGAACTTGGGGACAGGGAGCCTCTCTCAGGGGGATGGAAAGTTCTGTTATAATGGAAGACTTCTGGGCTATTAAACTATAAAGGATGCTGTGCACATGACCTTTTGTTTTATGAAAAATAAAATGTGTGTATGTGAATGTCAGATTCCCAGTATGTTAACTGAAACAAGAATTCAGCTCCCAGAGGACTTCGGGGTGCAGGAGGTGACAGGAAGCTCCATTAATGGGATGTGTGGATGGAAAGAGGGGGACCAACATTCAGAAATTATCTGAGACGGTCCAGAGGAGGCCCTGATCCATGGTGGAAGGAAGGCTCAAGCCAAAGGCCAAGTGCATGGCTACCTCTGTAGGCTTGCTGAATAGGATTTTGAGTCCTGGTCCTCTTGTCTCTCTTCTGAGAAATGGCCATCTAGCCAAGGATGGCTATCCTCTCAGCCCTGGCTCCCATCTCAAAATTACAACAGTGCTTACTTCACCCACTTCTGTATTTTATAGATGAAAACCCCAGGAAGGGACATCTCAGATAAGGCTGTCTAGCTGGCTAATGGAGAGGCAGGGGAATGCCGAAGCCCAGGCTGGCCCCACTCCATAGACATCGGAGAACGTGCTATTAAGCTCAGCTCTGCTGAAATCAAGATACAACTTTTCAGATGATTCTGACTGATCGGGCCAAGCACTGGGAAAATGTGGGGGTGGCAGAGGTGGAGGACAAGGTTTGGGACAGATGGCTTAATAGTTGCAGCTAACAGACTGGGGACAAAATACATAAGTAGGGAAATCCCAGCTGGAGTGGGGATGGGTGGGGTAAACACAGATGAGGGTGACTCTCTTTCAGAAACTGGGCCAGGGGTGGGGACAGGGTCTAGACTATGAGTAGTGTTTGTGGATTAAGCCTTTCTGGAAGCATCTCTGAGTGTTTCCATCATTATCTGGTGGACACATGTGCCTTCTAGCTTTCAGAGCATTTTCCCAAACATCATCACCCTAAAGCCTGGGAACCAGCTCAAATGGAACCATCTCACACTTTCACAGAGGACACCAAAGCCCAGAGAAATGATGTGTCAGTTGAAAAACTGCTCAGAGATAAGCCAAGACTTGATCCCAGGATTTCTAATGCCAAATCCCTTGCTTAGCAGAACACTTGTCCCCAAAAGTCTCTCCAGCCTCCAAGACAGGACCTCAGAGTCCTGAGCCAAATCAGGTGACCTCCTCAATGTATGATTCAGTTTTCTATTATGATAAGGAAGTAATAAGGCTGGGTACTTTGTAAAGAAAAGAGATTTATTTAGCTCACACTTTTGGAGGTTCAGGCTATGGTGCTGGCACCAGCTTGGCTCTGGTGAGGATCTTATGGTGGTTGCATAACATGGCAGGAGGGCGTGCAAGAGGGAGATCTCACATAGTAAATTAGAGAGAGTGAGGGTCCCGTGGGAACTACATTAATCCCTTCTAAAGGTTACCCCCCACACAATGATCTAATGACCTTCCACTAGACCCTGCCTCTTGTTGGGCTTTTCTTTTGGTGAGACTGGGGTTTGAACACAGGGCTTTGCGCTTGCTTCAAGCTTGTGAAACAAGCATGGCTTGAGCCATGCCTCTAGTCTAGACCCTGCCTCTTAAAGGTCCCACCACCTCCAAATATTGCCACACTGAGGACAAAGCTTCCCACACATGAACCCTTGGTGACACACTTAAATCATATCCAAAAACCAGCACTGGACTTTCAACATGAGTTCTGCATTTCACCAGCACCCAGGTGACTCCATGGCCAAGGTCCCCCATGGTGCTCTGAGATCTGGCTGGTTTCCCTTCCCTGACTTGTGGAAAGTCAACCACTCCCAGATTCTCTTGTGACAAGTCTCTGGGGTAGAAATTTGGTGTATTACCTTGCAGTTTCTACCTCTGAGCACCCTTCCAGCTGAAGATGGCAGTACCACCAAGCAAAAGGAACCAGCATCCTGAAGCCCCTTGCCTGCATAGGGCAGGAGCCTCCCACTCCACTAACCTGTAAACCAGGCTAGGAAATAAACTTTTATTTCCTGGAACAGATGAGACACACGGGCTGACTTGTTACTCTGCTATTGCCTGCCCTACCCTAACTAACACTGACCTGTATTCCTTCTAATGGAGTGCTGACATAACAAACACTTAAAATGTTGCTGGTTGGGGGTGAGCAGTAAGGAAACACACTGCTGGGCCCATGCTATGTTGTGACAAAACATTTGATAAACTGTTGCCTACAATATCTGGGAAAGCAGAAGTAGTCTATTGAGGAAAAAAAATAAAGTCTCCTGCCAACCCAGAATATTCTACCAATGTGGAAAAGAAAGAAAATAGTTCTATTATGGACTATGCATTCAACCAGACTGGGATGCACCCTATGAAATATGCTAATGGTATTACAAAGACAGATGAAATCCCACCATATTTATATAGCCAAGCAGATGCAGCCTGACATGCGTGTTCTCATGGATGAAGACTTATCCACAGGCAAGGACTCTGCAGTGCTGTTTGCCGTCCATGCTTTCTTAGTTTACCCTAAATCCACCTGGTAATTGAGGGGGTCATCTGTCCTTTTTCTGAAGGACAAATAAACATTTTGTTTCTCCCTCAACAGAACTCACAGGCGGGTTAGTCAAGGCACCCAGCCTAAACACCTTCCGAAGGAGCGCTGTTGCCTTTGATGCTTGTACTTGAAAGACATGCTCCAGGACCTTCAGAAAGGCAGTTCTGGGTTTTAATTCTGGTAAGAGGTTTATTTAACCTGTAAAAAGATTTGTATAAGTATCAAGGGAGCAGAGGAAATTGTGTTGTCATTATGGCTCACACTTCTGCATATTTAACTTTTTTTTGTGGTGGGACTAGGGTTTGAACTCAGGGCTTCATGCTTGCAAAGCGGTGCTGTGCTGCTTGAGCCAAGCTTCCAGTTCATTTTGCTCTAGTTATTTTGGAAATGGGGTCTCGGGAACTATTTTCTAGGGCTGACCTTGAACCCCGATCCTTCTGATCTCAGCCTCCCAACTAACTAGAATTTTGATTAACTTTTTAAGTACACTGTGTGTGCCAAAACTACACTTTCCCATTTCAATTCCTTCAAGGATTATGTCCAATGGGTCTTTTCATCCTTGTAGGGCCTCGAGCAGGCCCTTGAGTAAGCAGATTCCATAATGGAGATCCCAGGGGGCCCAATTCGAATTACGAAGATTACTAGCCTCGGACATTTTGAATCACATTTAGGACTGGAGTGCTGGGATGAATATTAGTTATGTTTACTTTAGGATAGCAAAAATTACTCATTATCAAAAAATCCCACTTTTGCTCTGTTGATATTCAGATTGCTGGCCTTATAAATCCAGACCATGTCTATACAGGGAGTATGATTTGGGGGAAAATCTATAGTTGTGGGAAAGTGCAGAAAGAAAAAGCAGTGTTTCTAGTAAATTGTGAATCTTAAAAGTAATTGAAATCATCACTACTGTGAAGAGGCCATGCTACTGTTTGGGTAAGTGTGCCTGCCCCAAAGACCTGTGTGCTAAAGGCTTGGTCCCACTTAGTCCACAGCACTCTTGGGAGGTGGTGGAACCTTTAAGAGGTGGAGCCTAGTGGGAGGAAGTTAGGTCACTGACGGCGTGGCCTTGAAGACTATTGGGACCCCAGCCCCTTCCTCTCTCTCTGGGTCCTGGCCACTACGAGGTGAGAAACTTTTCTCCACCACACACTACCACCATGATTTTCTGCCTCACAACAGGACCAAAAGCAATGTGGGCTGACCAATCATGGTCTCAAACCTCTGAACTCATGAGCCAAAATAAATCTTTCCTTATAAGTTGATTATCTCAGGTATATTGTCACAGTAATGGAAAACTGACTAAAACACAAGTCAATAGGGCCGAAAGAGCTGTCTATAATAATAATAGTTCATTGGCATGGCCTAATGTCAGTTATTCTAGAAAATTTCAAGTGCCAGTGGGAAATGTACCCCAGTCTTCCTGAGGAACTGGCTTCACACGGAGCACATGAATTCAGCCGGATTTTCTTTCCTTTTGATAGTCACAGCAGAACGCTTGAAAGGGTCCCTCCCAGTGT